AGAGGGGCGATGAGGGGAAAATCGAGGGAAGAGGTATCCAACGGTGGCGGGATTTTATTATTTAGGGGGCAGTGTGTAGTTGGGCAAAGTATAAAATAAAAACAAATAAAAATAAAAGAATCGCCTCGTCACAATATATATATAGATTTTGAAAGATTTTTTAACAGATTTATCATACAATGAACATCGATTAAATGTATCCAAAAACTAATAGTGCAAAAACATTAATTGTTTATTGGTTGTTTGCCCCGCAGACGCTTGAAAGGTTGCAAATAGTCCAAAGCCTGCAATTTTTTAGCTACAGAGGGTTTTTTTTAAGTTTTGAAAAAATGTGTGCCATAAAAAATACGAATTAATTTTTTGAAATTCAATACCTACACAGCTAATTTCATTTTTTTTCATAAAAAATTGGTCCATTTATGTAACATAGCCGGAAAAATGTGTCTGACAGAATCGAGAATATATTTTAAATATTTCAAGGATAATTTTTCTGCCTATTTTACAGGAATGGCGATCTTCAATAATCGATTTTCAATGCATGAGAAATCTCATTCTAATCGCCCGCAACTTTTGAAACTCATAGTAGTCTCCCTTTAAGGATAATCGGGCGAGCTGGGAGGGTTGGAAAAAAAGCAGCCATTTTTTTCTTTTTTTTACGTATTCTTTAAATGATGGAAGAAGCATGTGCAACGTTTTAAACTGCTGGGGTGCATGGTTAATGTATTATGAATTTTTGAAAAAGTGGTCATTTAACCCGTGATCTTATGGAAATCACCAAAAAAACTGCAAAACCCAAGGAAAAAATGCAGCCAAAGTCATGAAACTTTAGACACATTTAGAACATGTGATCAACGATTTTTTTGCGTGAAAAATATTGTCGCCTAGGAGCATTGTTTATTAATAATAGTGAAAAAAGTACTGAAAAATGAAATTTCTGCGCACGCAGCCCAAACGAGCAGCAACCTCCCAAGTACCGATCGGGTGGGGGTAGCGCGGTCAATTTAAACGTCTCTTGAGAGAGAGCGATAGAGAGAGAGAGAGAGAGAGAG